GAACCATCATCATGGCTTCCGGAGTGTGCAATTGCAGGAAAATAAAGCAAAGATTAGAGCCAGGAATCAAACCCAGGCACTTCCATAGGGAATACATTTGTCCCAAATGAGATCATAACTTACGGGCCAAGTGCCTGTGTAGCTTCATAATTTTTTTTAGATTTATTTATTTGTTTAAAGGCAAACTTACAGAGAGGAAGAGGCAAAGATAGAGATGTACCATCTGCTGGTTCACTCCCCAAATGCTGGTTCACTCCCATAACAGCTGGGGCTGTGCCAGGCTGGAGCCAGGAGTCAGAAATTCCATCCGGTCTCCCAGGTGGATAGCAGCATCCCCAGCACTGGGGCCATCCTCCGCTGCTTTCCCAGGTGCATTAGCAGGGAGCTGGATTGGGAGTGGAGCAGCCAGGACTGGAACCAGTGCTCACAAAGGATCACAAGCAGTGGCTTAACACACTATGCCACGACACCAGCCCTAGGTAGTGATTAATCACTTCTCCATTTTCATGCTTTTTTCAGTTACTAGAGTGAAAACTGCCCTGATTCTCTGGGCACTGGATCTACCTGTTGGTGTTTTATCTGTGAATCTTTGCCTCCATATTTGTTCTCTCCAGTAATTGATTTTGGCTCTACTAACATTTAAGATGGTGTGACAAGGAAGGTCCAGAAAAAAATTCAGAATCAGATAAAAGTTATTTTTTTTTGTAAAAAGGCTGTCTTTATGGAGAGGAAATGTAAATTATGGGAAGACTTATAAACTCATTTTATTTTGAAGTACTCACATCTACAGAATCCAAGCAGAGCATTAACCAGCGGGAATCCTTGGGGGGCACCTGTTTTAATGAGTAGATAGGATTGCTTACAATTCATCTAACAGTTTATGTGCAAATGAATGTATCTGAAAATCGTGAATGTGCTCAAGGGTACTTGAAAAGGTTGTCCTTCATTATTAATTTCTACACATTACCTCTACAGTCTTATTTACATTATTTTTTATCAGTGTAAAAGTAAATCTCTTCCCAGCCTGGTAATGGCCAGGATGGGTGTATTCATTATCTATTGTTGTGTAACAAATTACCCCCAAGTCTTAGAAGCTTAAAAACAAGCTTCACAAAGTTCATAGAAAATGGGTAGTATGAAAAAAAAAAAAAACTTTGAATGTATTTCAACTTTTTTTTGGGTGGGGTACCAAAATAAACTTTTCCTTAAAGTTACACTTGACCATGCCCTTGTGGAAGTACTCTTGTATATTTCACATAGGTACTGAACATCAAGGATTAGGGAGAGGCTTAGTTGTGTGGTTCTGGCTCAGGGTCTTTCGCGAGATAGTAGGTAACCTGGGGCTATAAGAACCACTGCTAATCGTGTTCATTTGAGTGATGGCTTCAAAAATTATTTCAGTTCCTTGCTACGTGAGCCTCTCTTTAGGACTACTTGCACACTGGCTTCCCAAAAACACATGATGAGTGAGCAAGTGAGGGGTCCACTGTCTTTTATAATGAGATCATGAAAGTGGCATACCATGATGTGGGCTGCGGTATAGACTGTGGTATAGACCAGGGCCCAGTGTGGGAGAGGCCTGTGTAGAAGATCTGCCTGCACGCCCACTCACGTGGCTGTTGGCAGGAGACTTGAGTTTGTTTCTCAGGGAGCTTGTCTACAGGGTTGCTGCATGGTCTACATGGTTTCCTCCACGTGAGTGTTCTGAGGGCCAGGAGTTGAAAGTCACCTAACCTTGGACTTGACAGCCCATCACTTCTGCTGCCTGCTCTGGATTGTGAAGTCCAACAATACGGTGTGGGAAGGGGAAGCACAAAGGTGTGGCTCCTGGGAGGTGGGATGATGGGAGAGCCTCTGCAGGATGGCCACCACCCTTGATACGTGACCTCAGCTTTTCCACTCGGATGCTTGCTTCCTGGAACTAACACTTGAGCAGAAGGACAGATACATGCAATGGAATCGTCACTGTCACGGCTTCACTGTGACAGTGGTTCCACTCACTATTCAGCTAAGATGAGGTTTCTCTTGGGTCTATAAACTCCTGATAGTATTTCAATAAATTATCCTGGCATTAAGTTAGATCAGTTTCTGTTGTTCTGACAAAAGATTCCTAACTGATAAAATGGATCCCATTGTAAAATAGACTTAGAAGCATGTGAAATATGGAAATTAATCTCTATAAGACTACAGAAGTCAGACTTTGTATTGTTGGCCCTGGGAGATACAAAGAAAGAACTGAGGAAACAGCAAAAACCCAGGGGTTCTAATTTGGCACTAGGGACATTGGCGGGAACTCATGCTGTGCCTGCCCACAAACTTTGTTCATCTGTGAGGGTACCTCACAATGCTCATGGAAACAGGTTGAAAAGATAAATGTATTTTATGCAATTTTTTTAAAAAAAGATTTATTTATTTGACAGGTAGAGTCAAACAGTGAGACAGTCAGACAGTGAGAGGGAAAGACAGAGAAAGGCCTTCTATCTGCTGGTTCACTCCCCAAATGGCTACAACAGCCAGAGCTGAGCTGATCCAAAGCCAGGAGCTGGGAGCTGCTTCTGGGTCTCCCATGTGGGTGCAGGAGCCCAAGCACTTGGGCCATCTTCTCCTGCTTTCCCAGGCTATGAGCAGGGAGCTAGATCAGAAGTGGAGCAGCCAGGGCTTGAACCAGTGCCCATATGGAATGCTAGGCACTGCTGGCTGGAGCTTTTGCTTGCTGTGCCACAGCACTGGCCCCCACGCAAAATATTTTTGAAAGCCATCCATAGTTTGAAAAATAATATGTTTTCCATGAGCTTAAGGCCCCTTGTATGCATGGACTTCAAACTTTTTTGCCTCAAAATAATTTTTCTGTAAGTTTTCCATCATTTTTAAATATCCTTTGTTGGCTGGAAGGGTCCCGTTTTACTGCATAGTAGCAATGAATCAAGTATGTGTTGAGTTCTTGGTTTCTAAATCTGGAGCGCCACAAAGGAAGCAAGGCTCTTTGGAGAAATCTTGTAAGAGGGTTGCTGAGAACATCTGTGGGGCCAGATACACAGTAAGTTCTCAAGGACCAATGGGGATATATCAGACCAATTTGGCTTGTAGGAACTCTTTCTTCCCTGATCTGGGTAATTTAAATATTAGAAGAGAATCAATTTTACCATCTTCCTATTAGTAACTGATACAGGTGGAAATCAGGACTTGATAATAAAAGTAGTGGATGAAAGTTTGATGAAGGCTGGGATATTTACATGATCTGCATATGTTGCCCCAAAAATGCATATTAATAAAGAGGAAAGTAGTAGTTTTAGAATTGAGAAAGCTGGCAGATAGCATCTGAGCCGTGTGATTGAAGAAATAGCACTGAGAATGAATAGGACGTCATGTGTGTCCTTCTCTGAAGCACTGGGCATACAGTGTCGCTTCGGGGCACTCTGCATCCCATGCATTGCTTGAATCAGATCAACAAGCAGCACACAAAACCAAGTTGAAGCCGGCGCCGCGGCTCACTAGGCTAATCCTCCGCCTAGCGGCAATGGCACACCGGGTTCTAGCCCCGGTCGGGGCGCCGGATTCTGTCCCGGTTGCCCCTCTTCCACGCCAGCTCTCTGCTGTGGCCAGGGAGTGCAGTGGAGGATGGCCCAGGTGCTTGGGCCCTGCACCCCATGGGAGACCAGGAAAAGCACCTGGCTCCTGGCTCCTGCCATCGGATCAGCGTGGTGCGCCGGCCGCAGCGCGTCGGCTGCGGCGGCCATTGGAGGGTGAACCAACGGCAAAGGAAGACCTTTCTCTCTGTCTCTCTCTCTCACTGTCCACTCTGCCTGTCAAAAAAAAACAAAAAACAAAAAACAAAAAAAAAACAAAAAAAAAAAACCAAAAACCAAGTTGAGAGACAGTCTGGAAAATAACTAGCATGTATTTTACAAACTGCCAAGGTCAAGAAAGATGGAGAGGAGTTTCTGATCAAAAGAGGCTCTTGAAATGTGATCACTGAATGCAGTGCCTGAGGCTGGGGTGCAGCCTGTCCAGGAGAAGAAAGAGCTGTTACGGGCATTATTGGGACAATTGGTGCCATTTGAATGTGGATGAGAGATGGTGTAGTAGCATGGATTCATCTCAAATCTTCTGATTGGAAGAATTACATAGGAGGCTGTCCACTTTGAGGACGTTCCCATGGATGGATTCGGGGTAAATGGGATCATGTGTGCCTCTTACTCTGGCACGACTCAGGCAAATACGTTTGTGAGAGAGAGAGAGCTGATGATAAAGCCAGTGGGGCCACATGTCAATCACTGGTGAATCTGACCTGGAGGTCTCGTGGTAGTTTGCTATTGCTGCGGTTATAAGAACTCTGAAATACAGCAGCTTGTCTCTGAAGGCTGGAAGTCTAGCCCAGTGTGTGGCTAGGTTATTTGCTCAGGGTCTCAGCACCGGGTTAAAGTCAAGGCATCAGCAGGGCTATCCTCCGTTCTGTACGATCTGGGGAGGAATTAGCTCCCAGACACCATGAGGTTATTGGCAGAGGTTAGTTTCTGGTGGTTGCAGGTCTGAGTTCCCATTTCCCTGACCTGTGGCCATCTCTGTCTTCAAGCGAGCAGCAGCACTGGGAACCTTCCTCAAGCTTTGACTCCCTCTTCTTTTAAGGGATTGTGTGATCACAAGGGCTCCATCTGGATAATCCAGGAGATACTCCCCGACTTAAAATCAACCAGGTCGTAATTGGGGCCACACCTGCAAAGTCTCCTTTGCCATGACCTTCATATAACATCATGGGTGTGGCCCCGTGAGTTGGAGGTCCTGCAGGCAACATCTCTGCCCACCACAGGTTCATGGCTGTTTTCTGCATTGTTCTGACTGCTTCTCTATAAATTTGAAATTTTATCAAAATGAGATGTTTTGAAGAGTTATAAGCCTAGCCCACCATGTTAGAAAATGTAGTCATGCCATGCTCATGTCTGGGGTACCTTCGTTTCCTCCTGACAGTACTGGCTCTGTTTTTGTCTCTCCTTCCCTACCAGGTCACCACCAGATCAAGCCAGGGACCTGCGAGGTGGTTGCCGTGCACCGATGCTGCAATAAGAACCGCATAGAAGAGCGGTCACAGACGGTCAAGTGCTCCTGCTTCCCTGGACAGGTGGCTGGCACGACTCAGGCCCAGCCTTCGTGTGTTGAAGGTAAGAGCTTTCAGGTCAGCTTCTCTGGTTTCCCCAAAGGGCCTAACTCGCAAGGACCCTCCCTTCCCTACTGCACTCTCTTTGCAACCCAAAGAGATCCAGGCTGTTCTGAGATCAGTATCAATCCAAAAATGAACATGTAAATACAGCTCTCAGAATTTCTCAAGAATGAGGGTAAGACTTTAAGAATGTCACTCAAGAGACATGGGAAGTCACAGGAAAGTCAGGAAGATGTGTTTTCATTCTTTTTTTTGTGCACCTGTCTCCAAGTCTCACCTGCCAAAGCTTTGTTTCCCCAGGTGCTCTCTTATCTCTTTGTATGAATGAGGGGACTTTGCAAAGTTCATGGAATAAAATATAAATTTATTTTGGTAGAAAAATTTTTAAATCATGCATATGACAGATCTAAAAAAGATGTACAGAAAATATGTATTTTGAAAAAGGCTTTGCATGGATTAAAATTTTTTTTGTGCCAAATAATTTTTTTAAGTTTGAGAGCAGAGGAGGAGGAGAGAGGGAGGGAGGAAGGGAAAGCCCTCTTATCTTCTGGTCTACTTCCCAAATGATCATCATGGTTGGGACTGCGCCAAGACTTCACCAGGCCAGACAGGGCCTTGGGGATGCAGCCCAACCTCCTATAACGGTGGCAGGAAACCAGTAACTTGAGCCATCACCATGGCCTTCAGGGTCTGCATTAGCAGGAAACTTGAGTCAGGAGCCAGAGCTGAGTATGGAACCTAGATAGTCCAAAATGGGACACAGGTGTCTTAACCACTAGGCTAAATGCCTGCTCCTACATTTATCTTTTAATTGCATTTTCCACAGAGGATGGGAAGCGTCCCTATGTGGTCCCTTAATATGCCCAGGGGATTGGGTCTGGGATCACCCTCAGATTCCGAAATCCACTGATGTCGAGTGCCATTATATGAACTGGCATTGTGTTTGCACAGGAGTTGTGTACACTCTAGATATACTTCAGATCATCTCTGTGTTGCTTATGATACCTAATACGGTGTAAATGCTGAGGAGATAGTTATGATACTGTGTTGTTTAGGGAGTAATGACAAAAAGGCTCCAAGTGTCCAGGAAAAACTTTTTTAGAAGTTTTCTGTCTATAGTCAGTGGAATTTGTGTATTGCAAACCTGGGAACTGGGAGGGCCAAGTGGGCTTCATGTGCAAAATCGGCAGAGTAGACTTTCACCTCCTGCTTAGTGTAATAAATGAGTATCTTCTTTATTGTAGCTTTAGTTGGTCATTTTAACAGGTACTTCCAGAATCTTCTTTGGAACAAGTTACCTGAGACTAGTGTGGGATCATGTTTAATTCATTTCTAGTCTCTAACTCCCCTACCAGAGGCCTGTGCCAGTGGTTAGAAGATAGGTCCGAATGAGCATTGATGTCTCTACTGGGGACCTGGGACTGAGTCCTTTTGATGCCCGGGGCTTGTTCCAGCAGACACCTTGTTAGAAACAAGTTTCAGTCCCCAGGGGAACAGAAACATGGGGTTAGCCCTGTAGCAGTTGCTCTGCAGTGGTTTGAAAGCTCTCGGGAGGGACCGTTTCCAGCCTCATGCATCTTTGACGTGTGTGTCAAAGGTCAGCAGTTAAAACAGAGGCACATGCATTCTCAACTGCAGATCTGTTGCAGCATTAGCTGTAATAGCCGACTTAGACCTGGCTTACCTCTCCCATCAAACACACACACACACACACACACACACAGATGTTCAGATTCTGTGCTCCATGGATTAGCAATGATAGCCAATCTACCCATAACCCACGTCTCCTACAAAACACACACACACACACAGATGATGGGCTGCACGGTCATCATGGTATATATCAGCACCATCCCTATTGCTTTGACAGCAGGAAAGTGGAAGCGGGTAGTTTACCTTCTACACTGTTTTAGCAACACCCTGGGGGCAAAGGTGCTGCTGAAGGCCAATTCTGATCCCACTTTATACAGGTAACATGCTGTATCTACCATCGATTCCCACACAAAAGAAACATGGTGTCCACTTGCACCCCAACATCGTAGAAAATGATAATTCTCTGGTGAGAAACATGAATATTCATGCAGAGTGGGATAAGGCAAGATGAAGAACCTCATGCTAATTCAGGTCTGGTTTTGCTTATCCTCTTAGAACCTTTCCATTTTCAGAGGTTTTTAGATTGGGAGATTATTGATGGAGGGTTGTGGACTATAAAAGAAGATGATCTTGAACATTAAGAAATGGCTTTTACAGAAAATTGGCTGTGATTGTAGAGTATATTTATCTTTGGGGTCCATTTCTTCACCTCATTCTCTCTGGAATTAGTATATTTTCCTCCATCCCCACTGTAAGCTCCAGCGTCCAGGGGCCAACATCACATCTTACAGAGCCTGCTACTCGTAGTTGTCCATTCTCCACCCTACAGCGAGAGCAGTTCTTCTACAAGACAGACGTGATCCTGGGGTTCCCATAGTGAAAGCCACACTGGAGTGACTTCCCCTTGTCTTTGAGACGACCCCCAGGTTCTTCACCATGGCTTCCAAAGCCTTACACCATCTGGCTTTGGCGCATTTCTCCCTGCTGGTGTCTCTGCGCTTTAGCTAACCACATCCCTTGCCTGATTTGTTGCCTTTTCCCCATGGCATGCACTTGGTCTACTTAATTCTTACTTGCCCTACAAGCCTCCTGTAAGCTTTTGCGTCCCCCTGTAGTTCCAGTTCGTGGCATTCATCCCATTTTGCCATTATAAACAATGCCTTCTTGGTAGTCTATCAGCACCCCAAGGACAGGGATAGGGTCTCTTGGTTTTCATCGCTCCCCTTGGCTGGCCCGTGAACAAGGCGTAGCCAAGTGGAGACTTGTCCTTACTAATCACATTGCTGTGTCAGGCTTGCAGCCATGTTTCCCTGCCTCTGGAGGCTTTAAACTCGGTGAGGAACTTATGAATCATAATACAAACTATTTTTGTACCCTGTCTAGCCCCGGATCATTGCTTATAAAAAGTTTTACATAGCAGCAATGTTTTAGAATACTCAAAACACTTTTTTGGTACTGGAAAATTACTGGTAGGGTGGTGATTTCCATTAGCATCCTTATCTTGGTAAAGAAAATATCCGTTCATTATCCTAACGCAGCTCATTTTAAATTGCCACCACCATAAAGAGTACTTTTTTTTTCTGTGTATTTTGAAATCGGTCTGTAGAAAACAGTGGTAGATGTCAATATGAATGTGCATTATACACAAGCGATACTGTATTATGTATGTAGGAATTCAGCCTGCTGTATTCCTATCATAGGTAGTAGAGGTCTTTGTGTGCTGGGTGAGTACGTAGTGATCTAACTTGGCTTCTGCAGCTGTTCCAGAGCATCCCATGTGTGAGTAGGCTGTGATGTATTGAACTGTTCCTCCGCTGATGGCATTTTGGTTGTGTCTGTGGCAAAGCAAGTGGATTCACAGGCTGAGTAAATGATATTCTTCCTGTCGTAGCATCATTGAATCAGAGCCTACACAGCACTAATAGAACTTTGTTTCGCTCCAGATTTTTCTAGGTAATAGTACATATTGGGGGAGGGTCTTTCAAAAGTTCATGGAAAATACCTATTATGAAAAATGTCTCTCTAGATTTCAGGTTTTTTTTTTTTTTGCACCAGATTATACGTGTATTTTAATTCCATTTTTCCATGACAATTTCCAGGTACCTTCATGTGTCCAGTGCAGTGAGTAGCCACTAAGCCTGTGTGGGCTAGTGCCAATTTAAACTGAAATGGGCACTTGGGGCTAGAAAGTTCATGTTGGGCAGTGTAGAATGAGCCTGTTATGTGTAACCCCCATCAAACACTTTGGCTGGAGGACACCAGCACCCTGTTTTCCTATTTGTGTCCTTTGCACCTGTCATTGCGTCAGTCAATGTTGATTGGCTCAAAGTCACTGAACATGTGTGAGAAGTTGAAGTTTGCATTAGGATGTGTGCATGTTTTCATATCCCCCGACTTTCTGTTCCTTATCTGCACGTGTTTCTATGAAGGCTTTTTAGCTTTCCCTGCTTAATCTTTATCCTATAATAATTATGCACTATCATGCCGTTAATTGGCATGTGGGAGGACTCATTCTCTGCTGATAGGTTCGTCTTATCTTATTTGTCAATAGAACAGAGGATCTAAAACAGAAAATTCACTGAATTTACATTTAAATTAAAACAAAGGCAGGAAGATGTTGGAATGGGGCACTAATTAATGTTGACACAGAAACTGGAATATCTGTCTGCATTTTTGTTAATCCCCACCACAGATACTTATCTAATGTTTTCATTGCTTTTCCATAAAGCATAGACTTTTTAGCTAAACAGAGGAAAAATAACTACTTTTACTCCGTCTCTCAAACTTTGTGCTAATTAAGAAATTCTGTCTGGATTATTGAAATGTGCCTTTTATGCATGTTTGAGATTTGGAGGAAGGGGAGGGGAATTATTTGATTACATTTCTCATCACTTGGGTCCTAAAACCTTATCCAGGTGGTCAGCACTCTTCTGTTTGAATCTTCTGCAGGCAAATACACAGCAGTTAGGTGGTGGGAACTGTAGTCTTCTACACATTTATCAAAATACAGCTCTGCAGACACTGTGGAATGGTTTTATGAGAAAAGGAGATACATGCACACCCCAAGGATGCTTTATTTTGTCAAACTGAGTGCTTTCTAAACATTGGCTTTTTTCTCTGAAAGGGAGTGATAAGACAAAAGCTATGGCATGGAGGGCGGTTACTTTTAAAACTTTTATGTCTTGGTGATGCCGCAGTTTCTCCTACTTTTCAGAAATTATCAGCACTCATATAGTTAAGAAAGAGCTACTGTTTGTGCTACAGGCAACTTTCTTGGTTAGACAGTGTGTTGAGACATGCGGTCTCTTTCCAAATGTTTTCTTGGTTTTCCTTTACTGGGGGTATGTTTTTCTTCCCCCTTAAAAGGTGGTTTTCTGAGTTTTGCTCAATATGGTTGGGTACCTGTCT